TATGGTAAGTATATTTGTCGACATTAATTAAGTATATAAATTCATTCAGTACACATTTTACAAAATTTTTAAGTTCCTAGTTTTAGATAATAAATCATTCAAAAAAAACTAAATAGTATATAGCCGGCAACTATATATTATATTTATTTAGCAAGTATGAAATGATTGTAAATAATAGTTAAGCTTAATTATTAAAAATAATTATTCTAACAATAATTTCAGCATAAATTTTATGACTTATGCTGAAAGTTTAGTAATTAAATTTAATTTTAATGAATTTTTTCCCATTAAATTTCCAAACATTTTAAATTTATAGATATTTCTGAGAATCTAAATTTTTGTTTCAAATTGATTTAATATTACCACATTTATACTATGAATTAATATTTGAACTAGCATCATTAATTAGAATATTATAATTCAGTATAAATTAATAGACTGTATATTATAATACTAGAAAATTAATTATAATTTGACTATAACTTTTATACTTTTAATAGTATTAATTTTATTTTTTAGTAATTCTAATTTTGCAATATGTTATAATTTTAATAAACACGTTTCTGGAAACTTCATTGCTTTTAAATTATTCTAGTAACACTATGTGTATGAGATTTTAAGTATGTTAAGCACCACTGATGGATCTTGGTGATATTTTACCATATTTTAAAAATTTTAGCTAGTGACATGTTCCCACATAATTACTATTTTCAGGTTTAGAGATAATAATAACTAGGCATTTACTAAGTATACCACCGGCAGTATTCAACTACTTTTTGTATTTTTTGACCACATCTGCCGATTCATTAACATTAAAACATGCCCCTGGCCCATTTGCACCTGTACCAAACAACATAATAACCATAATCATAAAAATTTTAAAAATTTATTATAATTATATAATTTAAATAGTTCAAAAGTCAAAGTAATTAAATATGAATTATTTTTAAAAGTTTTTACATATTTCTAATTAAATTGAATATAAACTTGAATATATTTTATGTTCAAAACTATTGAGTAAAAGATTTTGTTGTAATATTACAAGTTATATTTAGGGACATTAATTATGTATATAAATTCATTCAGTACGTATTTTACAAAGTTTTTGGAGTTTATAATTTTAAAATATGTGATAAAACTTAAGAATATATTTGAAATTGATTTTATTAATTTTATCATAAACATTAATATTAATACATAATATTCATCATCATCATTGGGTTTTACGATTTGCAAATTATTATATATAATTATAAATTAATATTAATATATAGAAATTCTACAATTTATATTGATATTATTTCTAAATCATACTGTTTATAATATTGCAAACTTTAATTAACATTTCGCGGGTGAATGTCATCTATTTTTCTAAACGCTGTCTGTACTGCCGTTAGAAGTTTTGGCAAATATTTATCACCTTCATTGCGTTTCATTTGCACCTCAATAGCCATGCTGAGTTCATTGCCCAAGTCATGATAGTATGGTTTAGAGCACGTTTCGTAAGACTTCTCCAAGTCCGAGGTCATCGTAAAATTTGCTTCAGCTAGCAGTTGGGTATAAGTGGCCATTATACTTTTAAAAACAATGTCCTTTAAATCTTCAAACACTACGTTGCCCAGGATCCCGAAAACCTGACTCCCGTCGGGTGCATCAGCATAAATGTTCCGTATTTCGTTGCCTAGGTCAGTTTGCACTTGCTGTATCTGGCTAACGCGATCGTTATACGACGATGATGGTTCTTGGTGATTCTTAACCATCTCGATCAATGTCGGTATGTTTAAAAATAAAACTGGAAAACCGTATTGAGCCACGAAATTAAATGTGTCAGGCTCCGCGATAATACCAACCAGGGCCTTTTTTAGTAGATTACCGACTGCGTCCCATTCCCTTTGGTGACCACCGATAAGTCCTCCCAATCCATTGTCTATAAAGCATTGTCTAACTGTCGTCAATAGTGAACTCTGAACGCCGGACCCCAACAATATAATAGTCGACATAAAATAAATTACTTGAATATTCATTGCAATAAATATTATTTTATTGTAGTTATAATCTAAAGTTTAAACTGTACTATACTATATTATTAATACTCTATTAAATGAATGTACAGTATTATTATTATTGATAATATAATTTATAAGTATAACAATTCTCACAAATTAATATAAATTATATTAACAATAAATATTACTTGATTTCTAAAAATTCATATTCGCACCAGCTGTTTTCAATTTACACTTTCAAATCAAATAAAAATTTTTTATTTTAAATAATTTTATTAAAAACTTTATATTAAATACAAATATCAGGTCCGGAAAAAGTAATCGCAATGCCCCTGCTTTAGTAAAAATTAAATTCTTTCTTAGCTAGAACATTTATTATTAACCAACTAAAGCCCCAACTACGGTTTTAAGCCATGTTGCTAAACTTATGTAGTGTATGTTAATGTTTACACAAACAAGGGCATTGAGATTTCATTTATCCTGACCTGATGCTTGCTACTATATGGTGAAGTATCACGCCATTCATAGTAACTTAAATGTTATTTTATAAACTATTTAGATGATGATTACTTTAATTGCAAATGGAATTACCTCGAGACAAAATAGTAGTTTAATTTTTTAACATGTGTAGGGTTAATACATTAACATGGTTTCAATGTCAAGTATAATTGCATTTTGTTTTAATGTCACTGCAATTAAAGTATTCATAATGTTAAAAACACATTTGTAAAAGTAATAATATTTTTTGCATAAAGCACTTCCAAGGATTAGTAATAAATAAATAATAATTATAACAAATTTGCAATAACAAACACTTTTATATTGAATTTATCATTAAGTTATCTGTTATTCGTATAATAATTTATTACTTTCTATATTTCATAAAATTTTGAAATTACAAGTAAAATTTAAATTTATTTAGTAAATGATTTAAAACTCTATATTCGTATTGTTGTATTGTACAAAACAGTAAACCTAACCCAACCTAAACTGACATGCCTAAACTAACCTTATATTTGTTATTAAAAATATAAAAAGTAATTGTAGAATAGAAATGGAAAAATAAATTACAATTCACATTTTAATCATAATCTATTACAGTAACATATTTTATAATTAAATATTTGATAAAACTTTAGACTAATTTTTAAATGTTTATTTATTTTACAATAAAACATTGATCTTAATACATAATGCTAATTTATCAATGAGTTAATATCTTGCAAATTATTTATTAAAATACTGTAGTAATGCCATTAGTATTAGTACATGGAAATATTGCATAAATGTATAGTACTTTTGAAGCTCACTGCTTATAATAATTGTAAACTTTAATAATATTGAAAAATTTATTTAACATTTCGCGGATGAATGTCATCTATTTTTTTAAACGCTTTCTGTACTGCCGTTAAAAGTTTAGTCAAATATTTATCACCATTATTGCGTCTCATTTGCACCTCAATGGCCAGGCTGACTTCATTTCCCAAGTCATGATAGTATGGTTTAGAGCACGTTTCGTATGGCATCTCCAAGTTCGAGGTCATTGTAAAATTTGCTTCAGCTAGAGCTTGGGTATAAATGACGTAGACATTTTTTAAATTAAAATTTTTAAAATCCCCAAACACTTCGAGATCCGGGTATAGAGTATATGGGTCCCCATAAATTTTGCGTATCTGGTTACCAAGGTCGATTAGTGTTTGCTGTATCTGGCTAATGCGATCGTTATACGGCGATGATGGATCCTGGTTGTTCTTAACCAATTCAATCAATTCGGGTAAGTGTTGAAAAAATTCTGGTAACATGAGCTTGGCCACGTAATTAAAGTAATCAGGAGGCATGGCGATCATTGCTACCATGCCGTGTCGAAGTAGGTCACCCATAGCCTCCAAGTCCTTTTGACGAGTGCCCAGCGTACCGCCCAGTCCATTTTCAATTAAACAGTCGGTAACTGTTTGCAATAGGGAGCCCGTGGCACCGGTAGTCAACAATATAATAGTCGGCATAATATAAATCAATTTGTTATTTATTGTAGAAGTTGGTTTTATGGGTATAATTATATTAATTTTAAATGTAAGCTTATGATTTGAATATTTTTATACTTTATATCACGAGACTACAATATTAAAGTTTATTGACAAATGTTATTTTATAAACCGATTAGATTATGATTAAGATTTAATTGCAAAAGGAATTACATCAAAATAAAATGCTAGTTTAAACATTTAACATGTGTGGCTAATACATTAATTTGGTTTCATTATCATGTATAATTTCATTTGATTTTACTGTCACTGCAAATAAAGTGTTCATAATATTAAAAACACATCTCTAAAAAGTAATAATATATTTTGTTTTTAAACATTTCCAAGGAATAATAATTATAATAGTATAACACATTTGCATAGTTATTTACAGTCACCTAATACAGTATTAAAATGAATTTATTATTAAATGTTCTGTTATTCGTATAAATATTTCTTAAGAATTTTTATATTTTTTAAAATAATAGGATTACGGATAAAATCTAAAAATAATAAAAGTTAATATGTTTTATTGTGTAACCAATAATAGTGCATAATTATATTTTAGATTAAATCAATAATCAATATAATATAACCAGTTACACTTATACCGGCATCCTGTTGCTTGTGTTGATATACGGTAAATTATTAGTACTAACAAATACTGTAGAGTACTTTAAGAAATACATGTGATATTATCTAAAAACACATTTCCAAATAATTATATGTGTTTAATCACATTTTCTATGAATAATAAAAATATAACACATTTGAATAGTAGATAACAGTTACAAGAATTTTATAATTAATCTCTATATCACTTGTGTTCAAGGGTAGCATTTGTTTAAATTTTAAAAATATGGTTTATGTCACCCAGTCATACATATTAAACAAAATGTACATTATGACCATATTTCTAATTAACCTTTGTAAATTTAAGCATATTGTAGGTAACCTTAAAAGGAGAATCTACTTAGTAGATGATAACTGGTCTAAATATTTATTCAAATAATTATTTATAATTTATACAGAATTTCAAAAAATCTCGAATTTATTAATAAATCAAACACAATTTAATTTTATAACAAATACTATAAAATAATAGTAAAGTTAGATGTAGTGTTGATTATCAAATTAATAAACGAAATCATTATTTCCTATAAAGTAAAAACAAACCAAAAAATATTAAATTAATAAACATTAAATGGAAAAATATATCAAAATTAAATAAGTTGTCATATAATAAAAAAAATACAATAAACTTAATTAAAAATTTTGTTTCTAACACAATAATTAGTTTGTAATGATTATAACTTATAATTTATAAGAATGTAAACGTAACCTAACCTACCCTAGCATCTCATATAACCTAACCTAACCTACCAAATACGACAACTTTACATAAACTTCAGTGAATATAATAAACAAATTACCGGCGAATCCTGAGTGCCTTAATATGCTCGGGAAAGGGAGGTCTCTCGCGAATGCTCTCCAACACGACGGTCACCTCAAACCCAATCTCAGCCATCATTTCGCGTATTTCTTCGGTCTTATTGATGGCCAAAGTCATCAAATATAGCGATCCCTTCGGACTCAACAGTTGCGGCAGTGATTGCAACAGAAAGCGGTCCATCACTGACCGACCTATAGGGCCGGCACACCAGGCCGCCAACTTCTCGTTGTCCTTACCCTGAAGTCCTACCTATGTTTAAGCATGGTGAAACAATTACTTCATAAGTACATATACATACATAGTTTTAATAAAACTTTTTTAAAAATGCTTATTTAAGATATTAATGTTATTAAGATTTAGCATATATTTGTGAATAAGGCTTTGAACTAAAATTCCCTAGTACTTATCATATATGTTAATGAAAATTCTAGTAATATACAGTATTGTTTACCAGTTTATTATCTACATAGTATCTAGATTGGTAGTGCGGGACATACCTGGGCGGGCTCGGAGCGCCTATACG